ATTAATTCAACTAATTCTTAGTCATTATTGCTTCAAATATTGCTTCTGTTCCTTTCTCTCTTTCTTTTTATTCTGGTTTCCCATGACATTTATGTTACACCTTTTATAGTTCCACAGTTCTTGGATATTCTGTTGTGTTATTTTTCACCTTTTCTCCTGTTTGCTTTTCAGTTTTGGAAGTTTCCCTTGAAACTTATACTATCTTTACATTCAGAGATTCTTTACTCAACCATGTCCAATCCACTAATGAGCTCATCAGAGGCATTCTTCCTTTTACAGTGTTTTTGATCTCTAGAATTTTTTAATTTTTTTCTTAGACTTTCCATCTCTTTGCTTATAATATCAAAGAAAAATTGCCAATATTTAATGTGAGAACCTGGGACGACTCTTGGAGTTAAAACTCACAAAAGTCTGAGGGTCCCCCGTGAATGGAGATTTTAATTCTAAGAGTTGTCCACTCTGAGCCTCCAGCAATTCATCAATTACAGTTCAGGTTTTCTTATACCATTACTGGTTCCCCTAGAGGTAACAGCTCTGGTAAGTTGTGATTCTCTGTCTTTCTGTTTTCCTAATTTGGGGGGCATTGGTTTGCCCTGTGACCTCATTTCTCTAATGCATCTTAGAAGAATTATTCATTTTTCAGTTTGTTTAGGTTTTTACTTACTGTTAAACAAGTGGCAACTTGTGGCAACTCCTGAGCTCCTTAAATGCTAGACTGGAAAACAGAAGAACTCACATAGATTTTCTCTTGTATTTTCTTCTCTGAGTTTTCATCTATAAGTTTTATATTTTTCATTTAGATCTTTTCATTCATTGAGTTAATTTTTGTATCAGATTTGAGGTATGAATCAAAATTGATTTTTTTTTCCTTTTTGCATAAGGCTATCCAGTTATTCCAGCACCATTTATAGAACAGATTATCTTTTCTTCGTTGAATTGCTTTTGTATTTTTATCAGAAAATCACTTGACCAGATATGTGTGGGCCTATTATTGGACTCTATTCCATTGTTCTGTCTCTTCTTTTTCTAGTATGATACTGAATTGATTACTATAGCTTTGTAGTAAATGTGGAAATTAAATCATGACCTCCTACTTTGTTTTTTGGTTTGATTCTTCTATTTCCTTTGCTTCTCCATATAAATTTTGGAATCACTTTGTCAATTTCTAAAAAAAGAAAAACCCCATTAGAATTTTGTTGGAGGGGGTGCCTAGGTGGTGCAGTCGGTTGTGTCTGACTCTTGGTTTCGCTCAGGTTGTGATCTCAGGGTTGTGAGATTGAGCCCTCGTCAGGCTCTGTGCCCAGTGCACAGTCGGCTTAGGACTCTCTCTCCATCTGCGCCCCTCCCCAACCTGCTTGCTCTCTCTCTCTCTTTCTCTCAAATAAATAATCTTTTTTAAAAAATTTGTGTTTGGAATTTCATTGATCTATAGACCAATTTAGGGAGAATTATGGAACAGTTTGGGGAAGCATCTTTAAAATACTGAGTTTTTGGGCGCCTGGGT